TTAATTATGTATTTCTGCTTAATTCCTCCTAACAGATTTTCTTTAGTATTCTTCCATTAGGAAATGATATCAGGGATACTTTTCTGTGTTACAGCGTACCTCATTTGTACCTAAAGCAAAAGAAAGAAAGAAAGAAAGAAAGAAAGAAAGAAAGAAAGAAAGAAAGAAAGAAAGAAGGAAAGAAAGAAGGAAAGAAAGAAGGAAAGAAAGAAGGAAAGAAAGGATTGTTTTTTTATATATAGCTTTTCATTTATAGGTGATTAATCACATTATTTTTTTTTACGTTATGTTTACAAAACACCTTCTGATTTCAGAACAATAATTTGATTAAGATCTCAGATTTTGTAGATTGTTTTGTAAATGTAAAAATGTGCACTATCTTACAATTGTTTGGATTTTTTTGTTTACTTTTGTACATTTGTGTACTTTCTAATACAGTGAAATAAATATTTAAAGGTGCTGGTGTGCTACAGACAGAACAGACTTACAATGACTAATACATACTGTATAAAAACATGTACTTTTAGAAAAATATTACTTCAATTGACAATAGGACATGTATTACAGGGAAATTACAGATCAGATTTAATAAGCTTGTAAAATGAAATTATATGCAATATATTTATCTGCTATAACCAGAATCTGGCTCTGCTGTTATTTAAAGTAGATTGTTTTTCTGCTTGCTCTATGAATAATTTCTGATTTTCACCACTCTCAGGGAAGAGCCAATTCCTTGCATCACAATTGAAAGAATGAACACCGACACCATTTGTGACAAGCAGAGTCTATGAAGGAGCTGAAGATGTGCAACTAGGAATAATCAGTACAGCAAAATCCCTCATAATTATAAACTGCTAGAAGCAAGAGGAAGGCATTGTTATGTGAAAATATAAACACGCTGATTGCTAATTACATGGAGACAATGTCAAAGTCAAATAACATCCAACATAACACTGACAATACAAAAGATGTTTTGAATACCTCAGAACGTAGTATATTCAATTAAAGAAGAAAAAGTATATTAAAGTGAAAATATTTTGGCATAAGCAGTGTAGAACTAGCAAATTACTTTCACAGAATATTCCTATTTTTTCTAGTGGTAAATGTTTGTCTAAAATAGATATATATATATATATATATTTTAAATCCCAGTTCACCAGAAGACTTATTTTTGTTCTTAGCTTTGCCCCCCTTGTAATCTCCCAGATGTGATCCAGTTCATTTACAGAGGATACATTTCATTGATTGGAGCATGAGTTTTTTTTCCATCCACATCTACCAGTCCTTTATGATGGAAGGGTTTAAGGGTTTAGAGTAGCTAGAGTATAAATCTAATTCAAACAGGAGACACTTTTCTTCCCTCCCCCCCGCTCCCCCAACGTAAGAGGTTTTTTTTTTTAGTGAATAAATCACAAAATAAAGGTAATAAGAAATGTATTTATAGATAAACTTAGCTGGCCTGTATAACCATACATAACATAAGAGTAATGCCTTTGAGACAGGCTATACATGCAGCATTTACACTGTGGGGCCCATGAAGAATTAATTCCCAGCACAGGAAGACTTCCAGCCCCAAGTTCCTCAAACACATGAGAACAAGTTATGAGAGCACACCATTTTTCCCCAATTTCCTCTGAAGAAAACAGAACCACAAGGAGAAGAAGGGAGGTGCAGTGTGCAGTTACAAGCTCCCACTCTGTGGGCAGCTGAGGAAAAAGCCTTTATGTTCATCACTGTGTGCGTTTTCCTGGCATCAACACAGTTCCTCATTTGAACTTCCCTCTTTATTCAGCTAATGTAGTATAGTTATTAGTACTGAACATCTTTTGCGACATATGGTGACACTGTTTTCAGCACAAAAAATGGAGCAAGCAGTCAAATTTGTGGAAACTAATTTGGACATTTTTAATAATGTTATGCAATTCCTTGATAAATGAAGTGCAAAAGAATAACTCTAAAAGAAAAGTCAGCAAGAGATTTGGGTTAATTTTCCAGATGTCTGAAGAAGACACTTGAATAGTTTGTAGAGTGTTTATACGGTCAGTGGAGCTTGGAACCATAAAGAAAAGGCTGCAATGAAGATACATTACTCTGTTGCTTCAGGACATTGTTCACTACCCTCGCCAACAGTGTTATTTGATAAAAGTGACAGCGTGAAACTCTATATCTGGACCTCCCAGAAATGCAATATATCATCTGTAGACATTGTATTGTGGGTTCTATTATAATCCTTTGCCTGCACTACTAAAACTGCCTCACTACATGTGCAGCTTATAAAGTGTTGACGTGGTATTTTACATGCTTGATCCATACCACCCAATTAATCTCTTCCTATGTTTTTTTTTGTTTGTTTGTTTGTTTGTTTTTTTTAATCTAGTAAGTCATGTAGAGAACATTGCCAGCGTTCTTCCTCTATAGCTAAAGGTGATAACTCTAACTCTGGTCACATATAATGTGTAGTGTAAGTTAGTTTTTCACTATAGCAAAAGGATCTAACCAGTGCCAAAAGTGTTATGTCACATCTGTAATGGTCATAATTTTAAGAAAAGTATGAAACTTAATTTATTGAAAAAATTGAATATAAAAAATTGACAGTCTGTTGTCCAGAATTTGAAAATTTCCTTCCGTTCTGAAAATTTTTTTGTGCCTGGAAAATAAACCTTTTCCTTTATATGTCATACTTCAGCAATGCAGTCACAATACGATGGAATCTGAGTGTTAAGAGGCAACAATTTTTCAAGTCTATTCAGAAATTCTGCAATTACTCATTACACCTCCTTACTGTATTAATGTTGAATGTTTTGCATTTTAATCTGGCTAAATATTAGAACTAAGCAGCTACTGCCAACCCAGTATGGAGCATCTTCTCAATGACAAGCATCTCCTCATGGCATGAGATACTTCTGCACCTTTTTGGGTCTACTCAGTCTGAGGACAGTACATGTTTGGACATGGGAAAAAAAAAAAAAAGCTCTCATCTTCCTTCTTTTCCTCCATATTAAACCAAGGGAAATTAATTCATTTTTGCCATGTTTTGCAAGGACTATGCCTCCTACTTTTACTACTAGCCTTTGAGCTAACCACTGCATTCATCACCTCAGTTCCCAAAAAACTAGAGTAGCCCAAAGGAAGGGGACAGTGGCAAAATTCAGAAAGACTCATGCTTTAGGTGAAATGCTATGTAATAAGAGGATATTATGAAGAAGGAGAAGCAAACATGGATCTGCTACGTTCTTGGGTAAAAACAAGAGCAAAATATTTTACTCAGGAACTAGTCCAAGAATCATGTTTTCTCCACCAGTCAAGCAAAGAGCTAATCTATGTATACGCAAGTAAGGGTGTTTTTTTGTAGTTGTTTTGTTTTGTTTTTTTGGAGGGAGACCCCCGTTAAAAAGTTGGCAACACACAACTCAGATGCTGCCTGTTCTGATACAGTATTGTTCTAGACCTTTGTATCTTGAGATAAGCACTCAGAAACCTTGTGAATGCATTTTTTTTTCCCAACAAAAGAGAAAACTTTGTTAGTCTTCTTAAAGGCTATTGTCAAGCCTATGGTATGAGTAGATTATCTTTTCTTTCACAACAGTCAGGGGCAGCATCAGTGCTGGTGTCTGGAAGGAAAATATGTCTCTGTTAAGATCGCTGGCATTTCATTAACGTGCACCAGGTCTGAACTTGGCTCAGGTTAACATTTCTGACAATATCCAGACATATACAGAAAGATGCATGCTGACTCTCATTTCAGTCCAGACTAAATAGCATTTTCTCCTGGTAGGAGTCCCAGTGATTTCAGAAACTGTCTGAGAACTTACCTATTATTCATCTCCAAAAGAACTTGTCTTCTCTAGTTTATTGGTATTATCGAAATCATGCAAAATCCAGAACTATATGCATTTAATTAGATCTCAAATATCATTTACTGTAAATTAACAATTTTAAAGTAATAATTTTAAGATAAATAATTGCCTTCACATCTTTATTGCCTTAAGCTTCTGATTTAAAACAATGTATGTATTTGTGTTGAAAACATGAGAAGGAAAAATATTCTTGCGCTTTTATTAAAAAGAGTACATCAACTCAGGCTGTCTTTGATGCATATGTTACTTCAGTTCTATATCTTTTATGTGAAATCTAGCATGTTGCTTCTGTACGCCCCCTTTATAAAAGAAAGCATTAACTAGTGGTCATGTCAAAATATGCCATAAGAGCCTTGTATATACTTAAAGCTTCCTTGAAAAGATAGCTGAAAAATATGAAATATTTAATGATATATTTATTTTTGTTGAAACACAATTTTAGGAATCCTATTTTAAAACTGAAACCATATCACAGACAATGGACAGATCATAAAAGATCATACAAGATAGGAATACAGCCTGACAAGGATTAGTGAAGTGCTATGGAGTGCTACTGCTTGGTTCATGTTGTGTGAACATTACGTAATACATCTGTAAGAGTTTTGTTTAGTATAAAGGTATGTAAAGCTACTTTTTAGACAATTAGCAGGGAACATACTGGAAATAATTCATTTTCCCTTTGGAATTCAGTTCTACTGTCTATATATCTTTTTCTTTAGTAAAAAATATTGTGCTTTTCTGTTTACTTAGTGACTTCCACCTGGTGGTCTGGGAATTCTCTGCAAATGAATTGTTGCTGTTGAAATAACAGAAATATTCTTTGTGAATGTGTTTGTGAATTTGACATCAGGTTTTGAGATATCTGTGTTTTACAGTCCTTTGGCTCCTTGTGTACCTTACTCATAGGGAAGTCAAGCTTTACTGTGTAAATGAAATTTTGGGAGATTTGTACTGTACCTTTTGCACTAAAGGAACGATAGACTGACCCTTCCCTGCCTTGCTGGGAAGTGAGCATGAAAATGCTGTGGAATTTTCCTTCTTTTCTATTTCTATCCAAATGTTACTTATTGCATCATAGATAGCACGGAAATAATTTTGCAGTGTTAACAGGGAACTAACCATCTCCCTTTCTTCTTTTCTCAGTTTGTTGCCCAGCCCAACTGCCAGCAGCTGCTTGCATCCCGCTGGTATGACGAGTTCCCTGGATGGAGGAGGCGACACTGGGCTGTGAAGATGTTGACATGCGTTGTCATAGGACTCCTTTTCCCAGTCTTCTCTGTGTGCTACTTGATAGCTCCCAAAAGCCCCTTAGGGCTTTTCATCAGAAAGCCATTTATCAAGTTTATCTGCCATACCGCATCCTACTTGACTTTTCTGTTCCTGCTGTTGCTTGCATCTCAACACATTGACAGGTCAGACGTGAGCATGCAGGGACCACCTCCAACCATCGTCGAGTGGATGATATTACCGTGGGTCCTGGGTAAATGTATTACTAAAGAAAATACAGTGAAAATTGTTCTGACCCCTATGGTTTTCCCAAGCATTCCCGAGGGGGAAGTCATAGTTGAAAGTCATAAATTTGTCACAGATTATTGACCTATCGTAACATGCAAATGGTATGGTATCTATCTACTATGTTATCTATCTGTGTACTCCAATACTTGGTAGAATTAGCAGAGAACTCAGGAAATGTTTAAAAATCCAAAGTCTACTCACCAATAGGATTTATGACATATTACAGTGAGGGAAAAGATTAAATAGCGGCATGAAATATTAATATTGATAATATTTTTAGCATCTATTTTTTCCAGAGCAGAAATTGTTCTGATTCTTCTAAATGTCCATTTAGTAGTTTGTTGTTGTTTTTGTTTTCCAGTGCAATTTTTTATTTTTTTTATTTTTTAACTCCTTTAACTCTGATAATTACTTTTTCATGTATTAGAACGAGGCAGTGTCAATTCTGGAGCATTACTTTGTTACCTGTGAAAGTAAAGAGCTCTTTCTAGTATCATAGATCCACCTGTTGCAAGTAGTGCTGACCAAACTTTTCAAGTGACTATTTACATTCAAATACCCATGCAGAGTAAATTTTCTATGCCAAACCACTGATAAGAATTTATCATGCAAATTCATACAAAATCTTTTCTCATCAGAAAGCATATGAAAGTTCGCTAGAATTCTTCAAAAGGAAAAATTAACTCTGTTCTGGTAGTTCAAAGTAAAATTGCAGTTGGAGGTTGTTGAAAGGCATTTTTGTGTGAGCAGTCAACCTCATGTCTGCCTGTGTGACTGCACTCTTATCAAATGCATAATCTTAGGAATCACGCTATCTTAGTTGTGTCTCTGTTTCTCTCTGCCTACCATGGCCTTTCCTGTGTTTCTTACTTCATTCAATTCAGTCTGATTCCTAACCACATCAGGACAAATATAAACAATATTGACTGAAATGGAACTGTGGAAGAAAAGATTTGGTAGCTTTAACTGCAAGAATTTAAGCTTGATATATTCATTTAAATCATGGAGAATTTTGTGCACAACTTTCTGAAATGTTTTGGTGGGCTTTTGATATGCTTACTTCTCCGAGAGCTTCCCGTTAAGATGCTGCTTCTCTTCTGTTTTGAAACCTTTCCTAGACAACCATCTTTTTTAAGAGCAACAAACCAACATATGGCATAATTTATAATGCGGCGTGGAATTTGTTATACTCTATTTGTCAGTGGCATTTTGGAGGAAAACTAGTCAGTGCATTTTTCTCTGTATGTTCCTTAGTAGAGTACTTAGCCACTACAGGAAGAGGCAGGGCTACCTCTTCCTTTCACTTAAACAAACAAGCTTGCCTGACCAGGAACGTGTGCACATTTACTTGTTGGGAAGATCTCAGAAGGAACAGCTTTATGGGATTTTCCCCATGACAAAACAGCATATAAGTCTTCACTGCAAGATGTGCTTTCCTTCACTAGGTAAATAATGTTATTAATTTTTAAAAGCCAATATCTTTATTAGTATTTTAAAGGAATTAACCAATGTTCCAGGCTGGTCAGAATGATGCTTCCTTTGAACAAAGTAGACTAGCTTCAGTGCATGAGATGCACATTTAAATGTAAAGAAAAAATCTCCTCCAGTAAATTTTCCCAATTTTATGCCATCAAGAAGTAAGAAACTAATGCAAAGCTCATTAGTTTCATGCATTACTTCCTCAGAAATCAATGCTACAAGGTTGAGGAGAAGCAAGGGGTTTTTTGATACTATTCTATGCCTGGAAGTAATAGTAGTTATTTTGCTGTCCAGCCTAGCAATTAGTCAGTATCTCCTTTTCACAGTATCCTGAGGTGAAAGGGTAATAAGAATAAATGTGCAGCTAACACATAGATCCTGATATGTCAACGTGGGTTTTACCATTAACTTTATCTTTTAAAGATATACCATAGAAAAAAGCACAATTTAAGAAGAATAAGGGCTATTTCTAGGTAGCTGCAGTATTATAATTATATGACTAACTCCTCCCCAGAAAAAGTTCAGGGGGATAAACAACCTCCATTACCCTCAACTTCTAACACTGTTATTTTCTTGGGAATGAGTTTAAATAACTCAGCACCCCAAGGCACTTGTTTGAAGAAACAATTAACCCTGAAAACTATTTCTATCTAGATGACTATAATTTCTCAAAGCAATATTAATATTCATAATAGAGCCTCATTTGGACAGATTATCCCTCTACTGCCTGTGCTGAATAGGCCCTTCACAAGTCAGTGAAGGCAACTGCTGCATAAACAGATGTTTATGAGTATGAATAAAGATCAATATTCAGATAACATGTGGTCAGAAAGCTTGTGGTTAATCTAGACTATAATTTTCAGAGAAACTTGTGTCTTCCAAAATCTACTGTATCAAAAGCATTGTATGTTTTACACAGTGATCCCTTGTGGTTCTTAGTGGTTCCATGAGGCATCCGGTTTCATGTTGAGCGTTTGGCTGCAATTCACATATATAAAGATTGTGGTGTAGAGATTTTTTAATAAATTAAATATTTCTATTATGTTCCTATCAATAAGCTAAGGTTAGATTCTAGACCACAATTTAGTCTGCCTAAAAGAGTATGTACAGCACTCTTGATCCTATCTGAAAAGTACATAGATATCTTTGCATTTTATGGATGCAAATGAAAAATGTTGAAGTCTGAGATGAAACTAATACGGCACAAGGATTTAGTTTTACTCTGAACTTGGGAACGTGCCAAAGTAAATCATTTTCCCAAAGCAAAGGTTATCCTAGAGTAGCTACAGCATGTCAAAACTATTAACATTTTAAACAATGGAGGTCTTTGTTTGTCCTTCTTTCCATTAAAATGCCTCCACATGTAATTTGCATTTTAATAGCTGCGTCTCTAAAAATGGAGAGGAAGAGGAGCTTTACTTTCTAGGCTTGTCTTCCAAAGGAATTTCAGCATACATATATTTCATAGACTTTAATAAGTTGTCCATAATGACCTAAGGTCTCCAACAGTTAAACAGCACTTCCTATTTGTCTACTACTATGTAAAAGAAGATTGAATATGCATAATTAGCACATATTAGAAGTGTCACTATAGTAGGAGGTTCAGAGTAAAAAACATGTATTGGGCTACATTTCCATGGAGACTATCGATTTTACATTTTAAAAGTCTCTTAAGGAAACTTCTGCATTAATTTTGTCTTTCACATGATTAGAAGATTACGCAAGCAGTGTAAAGTATGTGGAGATTATCTGTGGAGCAATAAGTCAGTATAACAAGGCCAACAAACATTATAGCTTTAAGAAAGAGTTGTGGAAAAATCTGTGAATAAGAAGAACTGGAATTGCCTTTCCTTGAATCTAAGAAAATGTGAAATAAGCTTTTGCTAGTAAAAATTTTATTTTCTTCTTAGCAGCTGATAATTCAGATTTTCCAAGCATGCCAGATGTTTCACACTGCAGAAACATACTCTTGTCTCCTATCCTTGAGAATCTATCACCACTGAAAAAAAACAGGACAGAAAACAACAAACCCATGTTATAAAAAAGTGAGGAAGAACATTTTGCACCATCAAATTTCCCATCCAGTCCCTGCATTGCCTTTGAGTGCGCTGACAGTGATGCAAAGTGGAAATGAGCCTAAGTGCCTTTAAAGTAGCTCATATACAGATATTACTAGTCCCTATAGACTTCCCCATATCTGTTCTAAGCTCAAGCAGTAGCCACAATAAATGTCCCCTGAGTCCTCTGGGCATTTGACTCACCAGAGAATGCTGTATTATTCAGAGAAGAAAGCCAACAACAGTTTCTATATTTCTGGTGCTTAGAAGATGGGGCTAAAAAGCTCCTTGGCAGTTGTTTGGAATGACTGTAGCAAAAAAGCACAATTTTTAAGGCAAATTTGTTTTCATGATGCTTTTACTCTTTTATGGGCATTGCAACTATTTTATTCAAAGTAGTGCCTGGAGCAGTAATACATTATTACTGGGTCTCTGGAACAATATTTTTCCCATCCTTTTCTTTCTGCCAGTAGGTTATATGAATTATTAGACTGTAGGAATCTGTGGAGCATGTTGTTGTGTTTGTGTCAACAAACTGTTATGAAGAATATATGGGAATGTACAGTATTGTTAGTACTGAACACAATGCTCATCCAAACTGATTGCATAGCAAGACACTTCAGATGAAGGAGTCATAAAGGTGGCAACACACATCATCTTCTAAATTTGTTAGAAAAAAATGTGTAAGAAATGTAATTATACAAATTGAAAAGTTCCAGGGAACAGATATAAAGGCTAATACAGCCAGCAAAGTGAAACAGTACATAACCAACAGTGAGAAGTATGGTACAGTGGAGGACAATACCTAACAAAGCTGGAATGCAAATTCAAACACAAGGGATAATGCACATAATGACCACACAAGGCTATTTATTACAAACTACTGCTCAACACAGGCTAACAACAAAGATAAATTGAACGCTCAATTTGAATACACTTATATTAGCTTAACTTCTCATTTATATATGAGAACTCTGATTTTATATGATAGTATCAAATAATCATGTAAAGACAAGTATTCAAGTATAAAAAGATATTAAATGTGATCTGATTTTGCTGATTGCTGATGGAAATGGGTTTTGGCAGTATCCTGAGATTCTTTTCGTCCTCATTCCCATTTTCAGTGAAATAACATTGTGCTTACTCCTCTAAAAATCAAATATTTCATATTTGGACTTCATAATCACATAGCTTAAGGATCACAGAATCACAGAATCATAGAACGCTTTTGCTTGGAAGAAACCTTTAAAGCTCATTTAATTTTAACCTCTCTGCCAATGGCAGGGATACATTCCTCTACACTGGAATCATCACTAGGTATGGCTAAAATTATTTACTTGATCAGGATAAAACAGTGTGTGCATAAGGCCCAGCTTTTATGAATTTGCTTCCTTCTAGATCCCCCACTAAAGGTGCTATAGACTGTGAG